CATCATCATCATCATCATCATCAGCAGCAGCAGCAGCAACTGGAGGAGTACCAGGAGCTACAGCAACAACAACAGCATCATCATCATTTTCCAGCTTTAGTGCATCGAGTAGTGATGATGATCGAAAAAATCGGTTAATTGTTTTGTCCTTTAGTAATTAAATAAAAACAGAAAAAAAAATTTTTTTTTCTTAACATGATGACAGAATAGGTGAAAAATAAAAATGAAGAAAAACATCTTTATGGTATATTGTGCAATAAATTTTGTTGTTCTTTAACGATGCTATTTTTTTCTTCACCGTTTACCTTTACTTTTGTTTCAGTAAATAGTTTCTTTTTTTCGAGAAAATTTTCTTTTACTTTATGGTTCTGCTTTTTTTTCTTTTTTTTTATTATTTATTGTTTTTAAAGGGCTTCGTCAGTTACACCGGTACCAAAGGCTACGTCAGGACCGTTAAATCGACCGATAATTGCAGCAAAACCAAAAACTTCTGCAATCACTAATCGAACACAGCTGAAGGGTCAACATGAACCGGATTATGATAAACCGAGTGCCGGTGATGAAAATGTGGTCAAAGTTGCTTGGCGTTTAGCAAAATTAGGTAATTTTTTTTGGGGCGGAAGAAGATGAGAACCGACGGAAAGGGAAGGAGAGGTGGGGGGGGGGGGGAAGAAGGAGAAGAGAAAAAGAATGGAATCAAATCTTTCTATTTTACTTGACATTTTTTGTTCTCACTCCTCGTTTTTTTGTTCCTTCTTTTTTCTTTTTTTGATTGCATAAAACTGTATTATAACTTTTAGAGTATATTTGTAAAGAAAATAAAAAATTGGAGTTTTTATATTTTAGAAATATATATTTAATAAATACAAATGTGCAATTTTTTTGCTGAAAAACTAAAGACAAATCAATTTGATGAATTCTTTGGGTTCTCGTCGTCGTCGTCGTCGTTGCTGTTGTTGTTTTTGTTGTTTTTGTTTTTGTTGTTGTTGTTTTGCCTTGATTTTTTTCTCCTTCTCTTCTTTTTTACACTTCTTCAATCTTTAACAAACATATGGATGAATGTTTTAATACTGCTCCTATTTTTTTTTTCTGTTTTTTGTTTTGTTTTGTTGCCGCAAAAACCCTTTTTTTTCTATTTATTTATTTATATTGAATTTATTTATCAAACTAGAAAAAAAAAGACAAACAAATAACAAAAAACAAAATACAAAGCTGTGTTCGATTAATAATCACCTGTTTAACGGGTGTTCAATAAAAATATAGTTAAAAAAAAGTAAAATTTTTTATTTTTTTAAAAGAATTAAAGCTTTTTTTCAAGTTTCTTCTATTTCGCTTTTAAAGTTATAAACATTCAAACAAACTCAGTAGTTATTTTTAATATCAGTTTAAAACAAAAAAATGATAAAAAAACAGCAGGCAGCAGATTTATGAGTAAATTCCGGGAAGTATACTGTTTTAATCGGTGAAAAGGAAGTTGAAATGCGAAGTTAAGGAGATGCAAAAAAAAGCAAAACAGAATTTGAACATCTGCTTGAAATCAATCTAATTTTTGATGTCTTCTAAAGCAATGTTACTTACTTTTTTTTTCTTCTCTTCAGTTTAATATGAAATCTGATCAGTAATTCATAAAGTCTTACACAATGTACAACAACAAATCAATTTACCAAGTTTTTCAGCTGCTCCACTTGGCACTGGAAATCAAACGGATGCTCCATTATGGAGTCGGCGAAATGCAAAAAATCTTGAGCTGAAGAATAAAGAAACAGAAACTGTTGGTAATCTAACAAAAGTGATAGATGCTATGTACACTAATGATATCGGTTCCTCATCGCCATCATCATCGGGTATTGTAGCTGATGCCAGTGATTCGGCTACCGAATATCCACAAGTGAATTCTTTTTTGTTTTGCCATTTTTGATCATCAAAACAACAGAAATGTTAAAAGAGCAAAAAGAAAAGGAAATTAAGAGGCTTCTTCTAAGCATAATTTATTTTTTGGGCTTACGTTATAATCAACTGTAAAGCTTCTTAAACTATACAAAGTTGATCGTCTTGATTACACCACTAAAACATTTCAGCAGTTTTTTTCTTGTTTGCTGTGTATGAAGTTGATTTACTACGTTCAAATAAAGTCTATAGATAGTTGTTTATTGTTGCTGTGTTATTGGTTTTCTTCAAATAACAGTTTATTTTTTTCCTATAGACGTCAAGTAATCTATCTGAGCACGATTCGCCGTATGATTATCCGCGACCGCGAACTGAAGCAGCAACAAAATTTGGTCAAATGATACCAAAACGTCTGTATCAACAACAGTCAGACAAAGCTTCACCAAACACCGTTTCACAGCCACCGTCTTTAATTGCTAATCATTATGAGAATGCTAACAGTATCCAACGGCCATATCCAGCCGGTTCTGTACAATCGCACCCTGTACAACAGGGTTCAACATCAGTTTTACAGAATGTATTTGACGGTTTAGACAGCAGTCGTGATACGTCTGTGGATACCGATGTTTCATCGTATAATACCGGGACGTTGACTCAACCAAAAAGGTTTTTTATTTACGTTACAAAAAAAAGGGCTTAAGCA